TTGTGAGAGGTTCCTCAGAAACATTACAGAAAAGTGACTAGTGGAATAACCTTTATTTGCAGAAAATAAGTTGTCATTTGGTGAAAAGTATTTGCTAAAACTTGAACAAATGTCTCAAATTTCTCATCTGACTAAACTATTGCTTGTTTTAATAGTTCACATAAGAAGAGTCTGCAGTTAAAATATTTCTTTGACACTAAGGTGAATCCACAGGAGGGCAGCATCTTCTCAGATACCCAGAGGCAATTTCTCTCAGGGTCCTTTGTGTCTGTGTGTTGTGGGGGTGGTTAGAGGGAGGAGGAGAGATTCTGAGGTAGCAGTGGAAACTAGGACCTCCTTTCTGATTGGATGAATAGTTTGAGGCTTTCTTTTTCATGCATCTTATAGCAGAAGAATTTGAACTTGCTAAATGCCAGTACTTTTGCTATGGTTGAAGTGTGAATCTTCAGTGAAAACAATAATGCATCCCTTATGTGTTTCACTAGTGGTACTCTGGCTTCAACTGAGTTTGACCGTTCCTATGGGAACATACAATATGGGAGAACATTGCCCTCACATATTTTAGATGGGAGGTTGAAAGTGCTAATGTTCTCATGCTGAAAAAAAGCCAGGTGGGAGGCAAATAAAAAAGTCATTCTGGGATTTTAGCATCCATAGGCATCCAGTAATGTTTGTCTGACCTTTGTCTCTCTGCACAGGAGTGAACAGCCAGCAGAAGGTGCAACAGAACCCGGAATCCCTCAATGTCTCAGAGGGAGCCATGACCTCTCTCAACTTTACTTTCAGTGATTGTAATTTTCAGTACATCTGGTAGTACAGACAACATCCCAGGAAAGCCCCCACATTGCTGATGTCTGTCTTCTCCAATGGTGAAAAGAAAGAAGGCAGATTCACAGTTCAGCTCAATAAAGACAGCCTGCATATTTCCTTGCACATCAGAGACTCCCAGCCCAGTGACTCAGCTGTCTACCTCCATGCAGGGAACACATGGTTCTACCCAGGCACCTGCAACCTGCACCCAAACCTAGTAGGTCATGTCAAGACCTTAGTTAGAAAACAGACCACAGAGTGTAAAATTCTGTTTCAATCCTATAAGCAATGGTAATTAAGAGCTAGAGTAGAGAGGACTTGATTGATTAGGAAAGTGTGGGAGAGATTTCACTGGGTTACACCAGGTCTGGCTCCAGAGTGCTCTAATCCATCTCTTTTTCTTGATTACCTTTTCTTTCTTGGGTTGTCCTTTACGTGAATCTTGTCTGAGTACTTCCCAGAGGTACAAAGCATATGCAAAACTAGTTTTGGAAAAATCTGGCAAATTGTAATATTCCTATATCATGTATTTGTATTTGGCATTCTCCCTTTGGAGGTCCAATCAGGTTGTTTTGAGGATATGGAAATCAACTTGCTTAGGAGTAAATATGGAGAACAAGAAAAATACCCTTGGCTTAGGGAAGGTGTCTCAATCCCTAGAGTTGCTGATTCCTCCTGCACCTGAAAGGCTAGAGACATCATAAAGGTGAGCTGTGTCTTCATCCCACAGGTCTGCATGAACCCACACCCATATTCCAACAGGAAAGGATTTTGACATTTTGAAAATAACAAATCCTAAATGGAAAGAAACACTGTTGATTTGACTGAAGTATTTTCCACTCTTCAGTTCTCTGATGTTGATGGTTGTACAACAATTTACACACTCTTTATGTGCTTACCTTGTTGAGATGGAAGACATGCATGTGGCCTTGAAACTCACCTCACATCATGTCATAAAGACCACCATCACCTCTACAACACTGTGACTTGTTTATCCAGGTACAGGACATAATTAGGAATAGGCTTTGTCTAATGTACATAACACACATCCGGTCCCATACCGGTCTGTCTGGTTCTCTAGCACAAGGTAATGCTGAAATTGACCAATTATTGATTGGAAGCGTGTTGCAGGCCTCGGAATTTCATAAAAAATATCATGTCAATAGTAAAGGCTTAAAAAAAGTGTTTTCCATTACCTGGCAACAAGCTAAGGACATTATAAAGACATGCCCTACTTGTTCTTTCTATAATCAAACACCGTTGCCTGCAGGGAGTAACCCAAAGGGTACTCAAAGGAATGAAATCTAGCAGATGGATGTGTTCCACTTTATGGAATTTGGTAAATTAAAATATGTACACCACACCATAGACACATATTCAGGTTTTCAATGGGCAACTAACCTGAGCTCAGAAAAGCCTGATTCGGTAATCACACATTTATTGGAAGTTATGGCCATCATGGGTATACCTGCACAAATAAAGACAGACAATGGTCCAGCATATATATCTAAGAAAATGAAACAAGATTTTTCTTATTATAATATAAACACATTACAGGTATACCAAATAATCCTACAGGTCAGGCAGTTATAGAAAGATCAAATCATACTATAAAGGATATGCTGAACAAACAGAAAGGGATGAAAGATACCCCCAGAAATAGATTGAATTTTCTTAATGCTAATGAGAAAGGAACAACAGCAGCAAAGAGGCATTGGATAATAGAAAAAACCTTCTGAATTAAACCAACCTGTTTATTCCAAAGATGTGCTAACCAGGAGATGTGCTACACTGGGGAAGGGGTTTTGCTCTTGTTTCCACAGGAGATGAAAAATTGTGGATACCATCAAAATTAACAAAGGCTTGATGTGAAGAGGAGAAACCTCTTGGAAAGGAGAAATGACAGCTCGTCCACAATGATGATATTCATACAGGTGTTAAGAAAAACATATAGAATGGGGGCAGGGTTCTGTTCTTATCTCCACAGGAAAACACTCATCTTTGAAAAATTCAAAGGACCCTGGATATTTGAATACTGACAGATGAAAAAATAACTGCCAAATAGGGACTATCAGGAATACTGAATAGGTTCTGTAAGTAAAATATACTAAATCATATTTCTAAATTTATAGAGCTGGTTTTGGAGATGGACTCTGGCTCAGTCCCTCTCTAATTCCAAGCCTGTTGTTAAAAGAAATACACAGAGTTTCTGTCTCATGTCAAGAGCCATGATATGGGCTTTTCTTCATATCTATCATTCTTTTCATTGAATATGTGTATGTCTGTATATGTCTATATGACTAATGTTTAAGTTTTCCAGAATGAACAATGAGTTTTTCCTGCAATGACATTTGAAGTTCCCAGGAAGAAGATTGGGCCCCATAACAACAACTCCCCTCAGTTGATATGACATCATGATACTGATAATGCTACTACAAGACCAGTTTTGGGTACCAGCTGCACAAGACGGTTCCGACTTGGTTAGCTGAAATGGTGCACATCTTGTACAACATTCTGGCCAGACCTCCACAAAATACTCAGAGACTATCTGCAATTTTAAAAGACATTGATCTTGAAATTTAACCATCATTTTACTTTCACAGGATCCCCCAGAAAGAACGTCGCCCCCATGGCAGCTGGAAGTAATTCTAGAGAATGACATCCCTTCTCCCAGTAAAGTTTGTCCTTGGGTTTAGGGGCATTATTTAGGGGTTGATTATAATTAGTGAATGGTTGAGGGTTGAGGGAGGAATCTTATAAGTGCAGGAATCTTTTTTTAAAAAGAGGGATAATTGGATGATTGGATAATAGACTTGTACTTGTGAGTTATTGTTTTTAGACAAAGATATTGGTATCGATTCTTGTATATTGACACAAAGTTAAATTATGTTGACTATTGTATGTATGTATGTTTCTACCTCTGTTTAAAACATTTTATGTATTGATATATATATTGTATTGATATATGTATATTTACCATATTGCATTGTACACTTCTACCTCTGATTAAGATACTTATATATTTTTATGTATTGATATATATATATTTACCATATTGCAATGTATATTTATACATTGTTTATATTTGGAGGTCATATTGTTCTCATTTATTTCACAGTTGTTTATTATCTTAGTCTTTAAATTAGACAGGTATTGAAAATTATATAGATCAATAGTCATCTAAGTTTGTTATTTATAATTAGACTAAACAGTTTCTTTAGATACATAGAGATTATATTCAGTATAGATAGATAATCTTCAACCTCTTCAACGAGTTGTTGAAAATGGGCTTTAATCTAACTCAGAGTTCTGTGGTATTGAGACACAATTGCTCCTGGCAACACTGATCTATTCCCGAGAGAATGTTGAGCACCAAAGACACTCCACCTGGAGCCTTTCTTCTTGGCAGAACTGGCCTTTGGGTAAAGAAATGCCCATACCTCAACTACTGACAGAGTTACAGAGTATCCATAAATGGATAAAACAGGACTGTCATATCCTGCCAAGACAGGGTAAGATAGTTTTGAAAAGTTTCTTGCCTTTGAAAATGGTATATCAGTGACGTTAGGCCTTAGCCAAAGTTGGTTGCTTCAATGCTGCAAACGTGACTTTGGGTATTTGCCCAGGTAGCCAGTTGTCTCTGTGATTTGTTACATGTTCTGGAAGTTGTTTGATTGCACTTCCTAATTACTTAGGTAACATTATTTTCCTTCTCAGATCTTTGATGGGGTTGAAGATTATATAAATGTTACTTTCAGTTCATGACTTGGCCAAGTTATTTGTTATACAAGACTTAAGCTAGTTAGAATAGAATATTTGTATTTATTGTATATAATTTCATAGGTTTGTACTTATTGTATATAATTTCGTAGTAGGCTTAGAACTCTCTTACTAAAACAAAAAAGGGAGATGCTGTGGGAGCTCCTTCTGCTCCTTCAGCCAATAGCCGCTGAGATACAAGTCCACTGGGGTGTGGTCTCTCTCTCTATAAAAAAGCAACGGCTGTCCTCCACTCTCTCTCTGGCTTCTGGCTCCTAGACCCCTTTTCTGATCCTGCAGAGGGGCTGTTGTCTGGGACAATAATCTGTAAGTTTTTCCCCTTTGAATAAATAATCATTCTATTAATCATAATTCCAAACTGGTGTGGGATTGTTTGTGGCTTACACCTTCAGGATGGGTCCACTTCCACTTCACCACCACAGGCTTCTGGCTTTCCAGGATATCACTGGCCCTTTATGTGGCCTGGCTGCCATGCGCAGATCAGGAAAACAAATGTTCTTTCGGATCGTGTGCCCAATGCTGCTGAGGGTGACGTGTGCATTCTTGTTGATGGTGGTCCTTACATGTGAAGTGACTGGTTTTCGCTGACTGGATTTGCATTTCATGACCACTATGAACCCTTTGACATTGGCTGTGGGCTTCACTCCCACATTTTTAGAGTAAATCAGCCCATTGCAGTGGACAGAGTTGCAGAACTTCAGGGTTTTGGGTTCAGGGCTCTATGTCTACTCATTCCTCTTGATCAGGAAACTGTAGTAGTTCCAAACGACCATCCATTGCAGATGCACACACATGGCAGTGACTCTTCTTTTTATGGTGACCAGAGACAGAAGAAGATAATTATTCTTAGTTAAGGATATGGCCACTGGTGAGTTGTCTATGCTCTAGTGCATGCTCCCCTCATGGGCAAATAGTTAACACTAACTGGAGTTAGTAGGTTAAAAAAAGACATGAAGTTTGAAGATGAGCTTGTTGGAGAGGATATATATTGGAGGGTTGTATCTGGGAAACTGGAGGTAGAAATAATATTTAATTGTGTGTATGTGCAACATTTTCAGAAATAAAATGTGAAAAGGCATTGAGAAAAAATAAAACATTGTTCTACAACAAAAATATTTAAAAATTGCCCTGTATTTTTATATAATTTCTGGCATGGCATTTTGGCAAGAATAGAGGATAAGGTTCCAATTTGAATTTTTATTATGTTATTGTATAACTCTGTGGTCACTTGAATGAAAATGTTCCCCATATTCTTACTCTTGAATACTTGGGCCACAGTTCTTTTTTTTAATTGACTTTTATTTAACTGTACATTTTTCTCTGTTCCCCTCCCTGCCTCTCCCTCCCCTCTTTAGCTCTCCCCCAGAGGCATGGTCTTTCTTAGAAAGTCACTTCCAGAGCTATGCTTTGAGAGTTACAGCCTTACTCCACTTTCTTTTCCCTCTCTCTTCTTCACACTCTGGGGAAAGAGGTGATCTCTTTGCTCCCTGCTCCAGCAGCTACTTGCTGACATGTCCATTTATGAACAGATAAAGAGAAAAATCATTATCTACACTTACAAATTGATGACATTTTTGCAGTCTTGGATTAAATTTAAGAATTTAGGAGGAAATAGCATGGTATCCTATGTCCTCAGGCCAAAAATAAAAACCCTGATTTCTAGAATCTCACTCAGAAGGAGACTGTGTCTAAGAGCTGTCTCACCCCCTTTTATATTCCTCTCTAGGGCTGAGATTAAAGGTGTATACCACTGGGATCAAAGGCATGCACCATCCAATTTCTATGGCAACTAGAGCGGCTACTAGGATTAAAGGTGCATATCATTGTGGCTACTGTGGTTAAAGGTGCATATCATTGTGGCTATTGCAATTAGAAGTGTGTGTCATTGTGGCTACTGGTATTAAAGGTGTGTGTTACCATAATCTGGTCTATAAGGCTAAGCAGTGGGACTGTTTCATTCTCAGACCTTCAGGCAGTATTTATTTATTAAAATATAACTGAAGTGCCATTACATTTCCCCTTTTTGTCTAAAAAAGAAGGCTATAACTAGTATAAGAAAACTATATGCAATAAATACAATGACTATATATGTAGGTGTTGCTTTCATTGGTTAATTAATAAAGAAGCTGATTGGCCTGATAGGTCAGAACATAGGTGGGTAGAGTAGACAGAACAGAATGCTGGGAAGAAGGCAATGAGGCAGTCAGCAGGACTCTCCTCTCTGAGACAGCCACAGGTTAGAATCCTCCCGGTAAGCCACCACCTCGTGGTGCTACACAGATTATTAGAAATGGGTTAATCAAGATTTGAGAGTTAGCCAATAAGAGGCTGAAATTAATGGGCCAAGCAGTGTTTAAAAGAATACAGTTTCTGTGTAATTATTTCAGATAAAGCTAGCTGGACAGGTGGCGAGAAGCAGCCCACCATTCATACTACAGAGTGGTGCCCAACAATAAATCAACAATGTCTAGTTCATTGTATTTGACAAATTTAGAGAAAATATTTTGTATGTATCTTATCTTGGTGAGTCCAAAGTCTTATACCTAATTTACTTTCTATCATAACTTACTTTCTTGGTCTGGTAATCTATAACTATAACTATCTAATCTTAAACTCCCTCAGAGACCCAAAAAGAAAATAATATTAACTGAGTAAGTAAGTGACTTCCAAAAAATATGAGTAATGACAGAAACCACTGGCTTCCTGGACAATCACCCAAAGTTTCTTTGCAGTGTTAGGGTATCCATATTCAGGTTACATGCCTAGCATATTTGACAGACTTTTTGTGTCCCACTTGTCTAATCAGGACAGAATAGTCAGCAGTCAACACAGGGGCATTTTCTTGCCCAGTGGCGTACTTTTACCACATAGAAAGAGAGTTCCATGTGGAGTTTCTTTGATGCTCATTATTTTCTCTAAAGTAGATTGGTTCTGTCAGGAGCATAGATGAATCATTGTCATAAAACAAAGAATGTAGGTTATTAAAACATCTTAAATTCCATATTCAATCTATCTAAACTATATTTTTGTTTGACCTTGTAAACATACCTAATGTGACTACAAATTTGATTATACTAGGTGATTAAGTACTAACCTATATTTCTTTATTATCCAAAATGTTGATAATAATAATTTTAAGACTAGAGATTTGCATTACACTGCCAAATGAACTATATAGGTACAATACCTTGTACAAGATTAGAAATGTATGTACAATATGTTTTAACAAAATTAATCACAAATTTGTATCAACACATAAAATTTGCATATACTATACAAAAGTAACATCAATGTTAAACATTTAAAACTAATCCTTGCTTTTATAAAGTAGATTCAATAAAAAACATTTTTATCTTATCATATCTATATCCTCGCTTTTCCTTTTCAGAGTAGATTCAATAATCTACCTTTCTATCTTTTCATATTTATATCCCCTTTTTTTCATTTTAAAAATTTCTTTCTTCCTTCCTCTCTCTTTCATTCTCTCTCTCTCTCTCTCTCTCTCTCTCTCTCTCTCTCTCTTTCTTTATTTTGGTTATTTCAGGCAGGGTTTTTCAGTAGCTATGGAGCCTGTCCTGAAACTCAGTTTGTAGACCTGGCTGCTGGCTGGCCTTGAACTCAAAGAGATCACATGCCTCTGCCTACTGAATGCTAGGATTAAAGGTGTGTGCCACCACCACCTGGCTTTTTTCTATTAAAAACAAGAACCTTGAATCTAATTTCCTTTATTTAACTTTTTTCCTGACCATTATCCATAACAATTTGTAACCTACACATTAAACAAAAACAAATAACCATTATCCATTTATTGGGAATGTGGGCATAGTTTTCTAGGCTAATTCATGCTGATTGGGGGTGCTGATAGACTTATGGAGACCCAATGAAAATTTGTCTTTGGTCAAGTCCTTACCGAGGTATTCTGTGAGGTTGGTTCATTTCAGCCAACAGTCTTGAAGCAGTTCTGGATGTAGAACTCAGTGAAAACTGCAACAAATGTACTCTGAAACATTGGATCATCTGGGTCATCTGTTCCAATTGGAGATTTTTCCGGGGTTCTTGCTCGATCAAACCTAATTTTTTTAATCCAGAATAAATCCAAAACCTCTCACTTCCTGTGGAAACAAATGCAAAACTTCTTTTCCAAAGTAACATATCTTTTTAGCTAAATTTTGAAGTCAGGGCATTTTCAAAATATTTAAGTAGGATTAACCTAGCAACATTTATAATCAAAAGCCTTTAGCAGCTGTTACTCTTTTCTTAGAAGTCAAACAATTCAAGAACAACACAATAATATATAGTATCCAGATTCAGTGTATTTTCCATCTTTACATGGAAGCTAAGATGGGGCAGATGGGCAAACAATTGAAGAGCAACACAATAATATACAGTATACGAAATCGCTGTGTATTTTCCATTTTACACGAAAGATAAGTTGGAGCAGATGGGATCTGGGAATATTAATTTTTCTTCTGAGCTAGGTTTTGGTTCTGAATCCTAGAGCTGGAATTCCAATTCTAGCCCTATCCTGGGCTAGTGACTAAAAAGCCTCAGGAAAATGGCTTTTTTAAAAATTCATGCCACAAAAATTTAGGCGCCAAATGAAGAACAATTAATAAAAACTCAGGGTCAGAAATTGGGCTTCAACCTGAAGATCCAAAGAGCAAAACAGCTAGCCACTAATTCCTACTTTGCCCTTTGTCTGAAAATGCCAATCCTGCCTCCAGGAGTCTCAAAAGGAGACTGTCTGAGAGCTGTCTCTCCCACATTTTATATCTCCTTAGGGCTAGAATTAAAGGCAGGTACCATCTGATTTCTATGGCAACTAGGGTGGCTACTGGGATTAAAGCTGAGTATCATTGTGGCTACTGGGATTTAAGGTGCATGTCATTATGGCTACTGGTATTAAAGGTGTGTGTTACTATAATATGGTTTGTAAGACTAACCAGTGGTATTATTGTACTCTCAGATCTTTAGGCAGTATTTATTTATTATAATGCAATTGAAGTGTCCCGACAGAGCAAGCTTTGTATTCAACTGAAAGGGTAGAAATGCCACATGATGTTCAGTCTCTGATGAAAGCAGGCACAGTTTCTTCCCACACTCATACTTTATGGAAATAATAGGATTGAACAATTGTGATGGCTTCTATGATTTTGTTAGTGTTTATATAAAATTCAGGAAAAAAATGAACTATCAAAATTACTAAATATTGCATCAAAGCTAAATTTCCCTATTGGTACCTCTATCCATTCTGGCCATTGCACCTCTCATATGCAACCTCAGTCTTCTTCTTTTAGCCTTAGTTTACTCTCTCTGCTTCACACTTGTGATTGAAAACATCATCTTTTGACTTCCTGCTGGTTTCTGTCATATCTTCCTCCTGACACAAAGGACTTTTATCCTTCTGGTACTGTAAGTTCAAATGATGTCTTCCATCAGTTTATTTTTGCTTGTGTATTTATCACAGTTGCAGGAAAGTAATCTGGGTCTTTCTGATCTAGGGTCATTTGCTGCAAGATTTAGGATGATAAAAATTTCAATACTTGTTTCTGGATTAAAATAGTAAAATATTGCATTGCACTGAACTTCTAAAAAGGAAAATCTGAACATGGAATTCTTTTACCCATTGATAACTGAGGAAAATAGTCTAAGATGGAAGATCCTGGACATTGTGGTAGTTTGGATGTTGTCTTAATACAGACAGATCTCCCAGGAAGTTCCAGAGCATGAACTATGAAAATATTCAGAGATAGTTCCACTTGGACGGAGTGGACCAGGCTGTTGGCTTTTGTGG